AGAGTCATTTATATCAATTATCACATCTGATTCTCAGTGCAGGGGATGGGGCACAATTATCAGCCCCATTATACGGGTGAGGGGACTAAAGATTAGAATTGGCTTTTTGTCTTTCGCCTTTTCGTCCTCAAAGAGTAGAAATTGTAGACAGTTTTGTTACAGAAATGCCAAGCATTCTTTTGTCTAGTTTGCACTGGAAGCCCAATTGCAATCACAGACCCAAGTAGAAAAATCGCCCTGCACTGAAGCCCACCCTGCCTGGCCTTTACAGCTGTCTGGCCAGACTTCATTCTGTCCTGGCAGGTCACCTGTATCATGTCCTCTCCTCCAACTGAGCTCTTCTGGGCGCTGTCCTTGTTCACTACAATTCCTATATTGTGTCCGATCCAACTTGACTTTAGTTAGTATTTAATTATGCTTTTTTTTTTTTTCCTGAAGAAAACAATTCTATCTAGTTGGGTGCTGTGGCGCCCAGCTGTAATCACAGTGACTTAGGAGGCTGAGGCAGGAGGATAACAGGTTCAAAGCTAGCCTCAGCAACTTAGCAACTTAGCAAGGCTAGAAGCAACCTAGTGAGACCCTGTCTCAAAGTTAAAAAAAAAAAAAAGAGCTGGGGAGGTGGTCCAATGGTTAAGTGCCCTTAGGTTCAATCCCTGGTACAAAAAGAAAAAAAAAGAAAATAAAACTGCCCTAACTTCTGAGCCACGAATGATCCCTGTATCATTTCTACTCTCTGTTATAGAACCAAGAAGCCTGATGTTGGATACATTCTTTCCCTTCACAGACATGACTCTGCATATGCTCAAGAACAGGTAGCTAGAACTGCTCAGTCGGGGAGCGCTCCCTAGCATGCGCAAGGCCCTGGGTTCCATCCCCAGCACCACAAACACCCCCTGCTCCAAAGCTTCAGGAGGGTATCTGGAAACTTCTGCAGGAAAGCTGAAAAGCTCTCCCAGAATTCCCAATGGAAAGGGTGACTCTGTGACTCCCTGATTGCCACATTTGTGAGGGGAGAAACTTAGACCTTCTCTCCGACCTGTCTTCTCAACAGACTGAGAAAAACAACATTCAAAGGAGTGGAGAAAAAACAAGGGCATGGGTTGCAGGTCACCTGGGTCTTTGATGCTACCCTTTGTTGCTTGGCTGTTTGTTTACTTCTAAGGCAAAGTGCCTCGGAGAGCACTGACTTCTTAGCGTGAGACTCTCATGGAAAGGAAGCTACCTTGGTGTTCTGGGGACCCAGGTCACTAGTATTTTTTTTTGTATTCTCTTCTGGCTGGGGTCAGCTTCAGTAGTGATTTTCTTGAAGGGTTTTTTTCAAGGGTGGCAGGACTATTAAGTAAAGTGCTATTTTCACATTTAATAGTCTCTCTTAACAAAACCACAGAGTTCAAATCTACTGTAACATTCAGAAATTTGATACCATCCTTTCTGAAATTATAGCCAAATTCTCAAATATAGTCATGAGTGATGTCTTATAAAATCTGTGGAAAATCCCTCACTTGTCCTTCTGGGTGAGGTTCTTTCCCTCTTGATTTGACAGAAGAGGCCAAGTCTCTCTGCTTTGTTCTGTGTCAGCATGAATTTTCAGTGGAGCAAGAAAGTAATCTTAGTGTCCAAAATGGCTTTCCCTACAGTCAGGCTCATCAGCAGCATGAAAAATAGATGTTGAAGTCAACCTGCTCTGTAGGACCCTAAGTACAGAGCCACTGGTCCCTGTCGCTCTGATGGCAGAAATCACGTGTTCCCCCTGCGTACGGTTTTTCAGAATGAGCTCCAACATGGCTTTGTGTAGTGAAATAAATCCACAGAGCTTATAAGGAGAATTTAAATTTACAATTGGTCATCTCCCATCCCTCCTAAAGCCTCGCATAGACTGTGGACATGCTTATCTAGAAGATTCTGTCAGCCACTGAGATAAACCGCAGCCTGTATGTCCTGAAACTGAGGTCCCCAAGACACAAAAAGACACTTGAAAGGGAAGCCGAAAAGATCAAATAAATCAACTGCATCATTATCCAACTTTGTAGAAATCTGTAAGGGGGATTTAAATGTGTGGAAGATGTTTGCTATGAACAGACTAATATTCCTCTTTGATTCAGGAACGGTCTATTAGAGAACAAAGGTTATTTGGTGTAAGTTCTGTGAGTCAAATTGATTTTATTTTTAAATTTTTTTTAGTTGTCAATGAACCTTTATTTTATTTATTTATATGCGGTGCTGAGGATCGAATCCAGTGCCTCACACATGCTAGGCAAGCGCTCTGCCACTGAGCTACAACCCCAGCCCTGAGTCAAATTGAATTTTTATAGTTTATTGATCAAAAACTATAGTAAGGCTCTGTCAGTACATGGCTGCTTTGTATAAGACTTCTGATTTCCATGAGTCAACTTATATTTCCTCCAAACACAAGTCCTGGAAGGAGACTTGGTCCCTGCCGGTCTCTGAGTCAGTAATATAAAGAATGGTCTCCCAGGTGGATCCCAGATCAGTTCTCTTCACAGTTATAGAAAGACATGCAAGGTGGGGGAGAGAGGAAAGTAACATTAGGAACACAGCTCGGAGGAAGGTAGAGGGAGGTGTCCCTAAGTAGGCTGTGACGCCTTCTGAATGTTGTATCATGTGACTATATTCCCAAGAGAATAGTTGGTTCTACTTTATTTGCTTCATGAAGACAGCTATGGTTCCGAAGCTTTGACTGTCTCAGAAGGAAACAAGTCCATCGTAAAGAAGAGCCAGAAAAAATTCTAGATAATCACAAATTTGTACATCTCATCGTGGCCATCCAGGGCCTTCTGTTGTACATCTTAGAGAAAGAGGCCACTGCAGGTGGCTGACACCCTCTCCCCAGGAGCTGAACACATGCAGCCTTCCCTTCCCCTGCTGAGGCCCTTCAGAAGCCTTGGCAGGAACAGGATTTTGTTGGGTTTATCACTTTACTGTGAGGCTCTCGATGATAATAGCCATCACCTGGCAACCAGAGGGAGCTTGGTCTTAGAAGGTGAAGCAGGTCCCAATTCTGGGCAGCTGGAGGGCAGGGCTGCTTGAAGGTCTTGGGAGCCTGGGGGCTCTCAGCGGAGGCTGGTGGGCAGGGCAGCCAGGGGAGAGAGGGTGGACCTGAAAACTAGAATCCTGTAGGCAAGAGGAGGAGTCTGGCTGTGTGGGGCAGGGACCCACCCATCTGGCTGAAGAACATCTGTTCATTCACACAAAAAGATGACATCCAGAGGGTGTATCTAGGAGGCCATCTGGACACGAGGAGACCAGCCTCAGGAGATCCCGTGCAGAATAACAGGAAACCAAGCCCAAGCAGGTGGGACTCAGGAGACCATCTGGGACTTGGGAGCAAGGAGAGAGCCAATCTGACCTGCAGCATCCAGGCACAGGTCCCTCAGTGCCCTGGACCCACAGAGACCCGTTGGAGGGTGAGAACCAGTTTCCTAGTTGTCACCAACACAGAATCTGTTATGCAGAGAGCAACAGCGAGCCTGTTTCTGGGACCCGAGCCAGGGATCTGACTGAGGCCAGCCCAGGATGGGCTGCAGATGCTGCACGGGGCTTGGGAGCCTGAAGGTCCTCTAAGAAGGGGTCCTTCTAGAACAGGTCACTAGAGTGCAGGGAAGGAAAGTTGGAGGCAGAGAGCCAGGAAGGGAGGGGAGAAGGGACAGTAAAGGCACAGGAGGATGTGTGGCATCATTGAGAGTTCTCCAGATTTTAAAAAATTCTCAAAAATTTATCCCCAAACCACATTTCCTTAAATATATGGATGTACAAATATTGCCTTTTAAGTTGTGTGTGTGCGACTGGTGTGAAGGTTGGAAGGTGTGCCTCAAAGCGCATCGTATAACTAGAGAGCAGAGTAGGTTTCTGCTGAAGCCATTGCTTAAAAGAGATTAAAACCATAATTTTCTGCTTCACCGTCCCAAATTTTCCCAATGCAAAATTTCTGCGGTTCCTTAAAAGATCTGTAACCCTGTAGCTCTGTCAGGTCAACATGCTGGCTTTGGGATGGTGAAAATGTTCTGGAAGTAGAGAACGGTGCCGGTTGAACAATCATGTGAATGTACTAAAACCATTTAATGGCACTTTACTAAATTTGTGGTATGTGAATTATATCTCAGTTTTTATTGTTGTTGCTGTTTTTTGGTGGGGAGAGACATGTCTGGATGTAAAGTCATGGTAAGAAGCTTGGGAGGGAGAAGAGGGTTTGAAGGCATAAAGCTGTATAAAGTCTGTTTGAGCCTTGGGACAGCTGGTCCATCTAGAAAGTAGTGAATCCTCACTTCTGTGGCTCCTGGGTCAGGCGCTGGATGGGTGCATGAATCACAGCCACAATCCCGAAGGTGGAGGAGAAGTGTCCATGTGTTTGGTCAAATGACGTTCAACAGGCACCAGGCCTGGAGCCCAGGACAGAGCCAGTGGCATCTGACACTGCTCCTAAGTGGCCATTCCAGCCCTTTCCCCGAATTCCCCTAAAAAGCACCTTAATGGTGTGTCACAGAGACAGAGTACGTGCACATCACACAGACCCCGCTATAGATTTCTCCTGGGCCAGAAGCAATTGATAACCTTTGTTGCCTGAAACCTGCCGCCCACGCGCTCATCCTGCTTGCGTGCTACCAGCGTGCACCAGTCCCAGGGCTCACGTTAGGCCTGTCAGACACAGTCCTCATCAGCCACATTCAGTTTTACCATTTCCCTCTGCTTGTCTCTCCCCTGCGAGTGTCCATCGCCATGCTAGGCTGGAGAAGGACGTAGCTCCTACAGGGAACAGCTTCCTGTAAAAGAGAGAGCAGGAGAGAGAGGGGTGATGACCACTTTTGTCATTCTTCCCAGTTCCCTCTGGGCTCTCTGTCACCTGGCGAATGCTTGGAGAGCCTTCAGTATATATCATCTGGTTTCCATGAGGTGTAATAGCCAGGCCCAGGAAGTAAGCCAATTTAGTACCCTCCCGGCACACCTGGCCCCAGTAACCTGTGGGGACCTTATGGACCTCAAAGTCATTGTGTTCCTGCCTCCACTTGCCAGGCCAAGGGAAGTCAAACAGGTCCCTTCCCAAAACCGACTCAACTGGCCTTGGGTTTCCTGGGTTGAGGCTTTCTTTTCTTTTCTTTTTTTTTAACATTTATTTATTTATGTATCTTTAGTTTTAGGCAGACACATTATTTTGTTTTTATGTGGTGCTGAGGATCGAACCCAGTGCCTCATGCATGCTAGGCGAGTGCTCTACCACGGAGCCACAACCCCAGCTGTGGGTTGATGCTTTCTTTATAAAAATCTTCCTCCCATCATTGAGGTATTTTGAAGATTTATGGCTTCATCCAAGCCATGTCATTTCTGTACTTTCCTTTCAACCTTTCCAACATGCAGATGGTGCCCTCCTTGACCCTGATGGAGCTCTGAGCCTCAACTCTCCTCTCCCCGCACCCTCTGCTGACATGGGGCTACGGACAGAATGATGGTCTCCTGTTGTCTCCGACCCCAAAGGCCATTTCAGACCTCGCTGAGTCTGTCTGGACTGTTCACCTAGTCTACAGAGTCTTCCTTGCCCCTTGTGTGACCCCCACCTACCAATTCCAAGAAAGGTGGTGAGAAGGAGGCTTTCCTGCCAAGACCTGCAAGACTCCCTGGGGACTACAGGGGACTTGGCCCTTTTGTTTGTGGCTTTCTTTTGTTTTACTGAGACAGGCAGATTCAGAGATGATTATTTTCATTTGTTTTAGTTAGCTTTTCCATTGCTGTGATTAAATCACTCTGAAGAGGAAAAGTGTATTTTGGTTCACATAGTATTTGGGTTCCATAGCTCTGGACCAAAGGTGAGGCAAAACATCATGGTGGAAGAGTGTGGCGGAAGAAAGCAGCTCAGGACATGACAACCAGGAAGCGAAGAGAGAGAGAGAGATCTTCCCAACCAGGGACAAAATATAAACCCCAAAGTCTTGCCCCCAGTGACCCACCTCCTCCAACCGCACCCCACCTACCTGCAGTTACCTCCAAGTTAATCCGTATCAGTAGACTGATCTACTGATCAGGTTCTAACTCTCATAATCCAATCATTTTACCTCTGAACATTCTTGTATTGTCACACATGAACTTTTGGGGGATACCTCCTATCCAAACAGTAACTATATCAGAATCATACTGTTTTTGACCAGAAAGAAACAGTGGCTCAAAAATGCTTCATTAACCTTATCCAGAGTACTTGAGGCAGCAAGTGGCCAAGGGTTGGGATAACCAGAGGAATTCTTACAACACCTTGCTGTGTCCATTTAAAAAATTCTCTACCTGTTTAACATTTGAAAGCTCAGCCATATTAAACATCTTTTAAAATTCATAAGTAGCTTATAAGACCAAATTTGACATCCCCTGCAATAATCGTATGAAGGGGCCTCATTATGTTCTTGTAGTTTCATGACCAGAATTGACTGACCATCTGACTTCAGAGAATTAGGGCCAGTTTTGTATGTGGCTGTGTAAAGAACCATACCACTGTGAGCATTACTGAAATGTTTTTAAATGTTTAAACAGGTCTCAAGATAGGCTAGATTAGGGAAGTGACATTTTTGGAGGTGACAATACAAGTAGCTTATGGTATTTCTTATGATTCTTTTAGAAGTGCATTTGGCGATTCACTTTTTGTGTTATCCAGAGAGAACTTGTGTGTAATGTCTACCCAATGTCAACTTTTCTTTTCAGGTGACCTTCCAGGTCACTCCTCCATGCACCAGTGACAGGCATTACCAGCATCTTGGGCGGTGCTGCAACAGATGTGAACCAGGTATGCCAGCTTCTGGTACATTCCAGCATCTGCCAAAGTGGGTGCTTTTGCTGTTTTCCGTTTTGTTTTGTTTTTCCACCAGATGAAAAAAGGACTTGGATAGACTTCATTCAATAGATAAAATCTCCTTAAAAAAAAAACTTTCAAAAACCGGTACTCAATTTATATTGAAACACAATTTTCTAGAACACTTTTTCTTGAGAAGGTAAGGTTGACAAACCATATTTTAGCACTTTATGAGAAAATAATTTTAAATTGTTTTCACAGAAATTTTGTTTGGAATGACCGTACTGGAATTGTCAGTACTGAATCACCCAATCCTTGTTAGACCTTCTCCCATTTACCTGTCGAGGGGCAGACAGGGACTCGATACCACTTTCCCAACTGATCCACCAGAGTGCAGCCAAGCATTTCTACACTCCCAAGGAGCCCCGGGCCACTGGGCCCTCCTTCTTTCATTGTTTTGGGGAGAGGTGGGGAATCACCTCACATTATAACAAGACCCTGTGGATGTTTCAGCTTCAGATATTCCCGGATGTGCATACCCAAGTCCAGTGATTTTTAAGAGTGGGTTCACATGCATGGGTGTTGGTCAAACTGAGTTAACCATGAGCCCACAAGACGTCGACTACCCAGAGGGGAGTTTGAAGATGGGAGCAGGGAGGGGATAACAAAGTTCCTTTTGCTTATACACTTTATTCCAAGTGGGTTCCAGCAACCCTTCGAGTTTTTAGAGCCCAGTTTAAAGCTTTAGTTCTACTCATAGGCAGAGTTATGGGATGCAACATGTGACTAGTCTTACCTTTACATGGATAAGGGACTGCCATGACCACAGCCAACCCAGGAGGGGACCCAAGGAGGCACAACAAACTTGGGACAGGGTGTTTGAGCAGAGCCCCAGCTACAGTGCTCATGGTGCAGTGTAGCCTCATCCCATGTGTAGCATTATCTCAGGGGTCATCTTGGGATCGTGATCATTTAGATTACAACAATAGTATGATGCTTTATTTATTTATTTATTTGGTGTTGGGGGCCACACACATGCTAGGTACATGCTCTTTTCTTGAGCTACATACACCCCTGGCCAGTGTGTTCTTTTGTTTTGGTTTTGGTTAATGTGTTTTGGGATGCTGTTTCGTGTTAGGCTGTGATTGTTGGTTTTGATTGGTGCATTTTTCCTCCTTCCAATTTAAGGAAAGTACATGTCTTCCAAATGCACTACTACCTCTGACAGTGTGTGTCTGCCCTGTGGCCCGGATGAATATTTGGATACCTGGAATGAGGAAGATAAATGCTTGCTGCATAAGGTTTGCGATACAGGTGGGTTCGTCACATTGGTATGTCAGTGGCAAGTGTGGAAACCCAGTGTTCATCTCTGTCCTTCAAGTCTCCTCTTCTATATAAGCTTTTTAAGATATAGCCAATGCTATTTCTTTTGAAGGACACAGGAAGAAGTTATGATCGTGGACCCCCAGGAAGATGGGTTTTAGATTTCCAAAGCCCTGGTTAAAGCTCTTCATTGAGAACCCTCATGTTCAGGAATATGTTTATGCTGCATTTAATCATGAACACATTTTACAGGGGACAAAATGTTTTCATGATATTCCCACAGTTGAACCATTGGATTCTCCCTAACCCCTTTGAACCCTGTAAGGTAGCCATGCCTGTCTCATTTTAAAAATGGGGAAACTGAGGCTCAGGTTGAATGACTTCTCCAAACTTAACAGATGAGAAGCAGGACTCAAAACCTGTTTTTGGACTCATAAACCTTTTTCCCACATCATAAATGTTTGATTAGCTCTGGAGCTTGATCTCCTTACCATGCAACTTTAATTTTTTTTGCCTCTTTTTTTTTTTAAAAAAAAAGTTATAATTGGTAATAATCAGGATCAAACTATATCTCTCGGGTCTCCTAACCTAAAGGGCCTTTTTTTCTAGTCTGTTTTCATGTGAAGAATCTGTGATTCTCTATTCCCCATGGAGCTTCCAATCTGGATTTGGCTGCTTACACCCCCTCAATGCCATTTAACCTCCTCTTCTGTCCCCCATCTTCCCTGTAAATTGGCTGCTAGATCTTAGAGGTTGATCAGATTCTGATTTGCTTTTTCTTTTGTTGGCAAAACCCTTTCATACATGGTATAGTTCATGTTTATAATATGATATTGGAATCACAAAACGGCAGCTTCTCTCTCCTTTTGTGACATTGCCAGCTGCTGCGGAACCTGGCCCAGATCCCTTTTCTTTAGGGGCTGCAGAAAGGTGGCGTTCTAATTCTGTCCTCCCTTCTTCCTTTATTCATTTCCTTCTCCATTTTCCTCATCAACTATTTGTTAGTACAGTACATTTAGGAAAGGTGGGACACGTGCATGTAACTTCTTATCACTTTTCAGAATGATGACTCCATCATCCAGCTTTCTTCCAGGGATTCGTGTTAATATTATGAACTTGTGAATTTAAACATATTTGAGGTGTTTCACTCCATTGCAGTCACTGTTAATTTTGGTGGTGCTCAAAGTACCCCACCTCTTTGAGGTGGCCCTACGTTTTCTGGTACAACTCCAGGCATGGTCAAGGGCTCTGTTGATTCCAGGCTTACCTTGGACATTTCCTGCCAGAGCTGTGAACAGTCATTTCTCCAAGGATTCCTGATTGTTTTTAGTGCGACATTTTATTTAGTGACTTCAGTGCAGTTTCTAGGAATCCATTGCTACTGAGTTAATTCTTGTTTACAGTTTCCCCCTGCCATTGGAAAAAAAAGTTTTTAACAGTACTTTTAAAAACCATAATTTTTCTAATGTGCTAGAGACAGCTGTCGCACTTGGGGTTGGAGAAGGTAACATGGAAACTCCACTGAGCAGAAGCATCTGATCAAGTCTTTTATTTCCCACTACTTAGTAATGACCTTGACTCACTGCTGTCTCCTGGAAATACAGATTCATTCTGTCTACTGCCAAAATTGATTAAAACCTAAAACTGGGTGAATGAAAATATTTTAATGTATTTCAAAATTATTCACCACCCCACAGATTTACATTTTTGCAGTTGAGTACAATACTGGGAGTACTTAGAATTTTCCAGAGAGGAGGTATGTGTCCATATATGTTCTCATGTATTATGTACATGTTTCTGCATATTGGCCTTGGTACTGCACGGTGGACCCAAGTGAGTACCAAGTGAGCACAGAAGGCAATGAGAACTTCCCTGGATTCACCACACTTAGGTCTAAAAAGAATGGAAACAGAGTGTCCCCTACTTGCTGGTATAACTTGAGACAAGGAATGGTTTGTTCATCTCTTTTTCCCTGGGAATTCCTATATGTATTCAGGAATATAAAATACAAAGGCCATTTGAAGAATCCAAGTGAGTGGAGTCATACAGGGGTTCCAGGTCTGTTTTAAATAATGTTGTATCTTTGTGTGTGTGTGTGTGTGCGTGTGCGTGGTACATTGAGTCTCTAGTCAAAGCAGTTATGATCTACAGTCACCATAAACACTGAATGGGTAATCCTGAAACACTGCCCCTGGGGGAAGTATAGGGTTGGGTCCCTGAAACCCACTTTCATCCACTGACCAACGTGCAACCTGGCTTTATGTGTGTCACTGTTTATTTGATGTGTTGTTGACCGTTAGCATTGCACTCATGGCCAACAGCACGTCGCGTGCCATACGGTTATCCAACACATGTGTCTTCTCTGTCAGGCCCACCACAGCCTTCTGGCACTCAGGAACACTAGACAGAACTTCAGCACTACCTGGGGCCATGTTAAACAGGGAAATCACCAACGAAAAGCACACAAAAATGGGTAAAACGTGGCAGACTGAAAACAGACTCTCATTTCCAGTGTGAGAGCTGCAATGAGAAGGCTGGGCACCCTTCCTCTGACCTCTGCTGGGAACCTGTGTGTGGAGTGACTCAGAGATTTACATGGTTCTACGCACATCCACAGATTCCTGCAGAAGTGCTGAGTACTGATTTGGGGGTTACAAATACATTTTAGCAAATAGGTGAATTCACAAGTACAAATCTATAAAGAAGATAGTGTGTGTGTGTGTGTGTGTGTGTGTGTGTAGGTGTGTGTGTGTAGTTTATAACAGATAAATTCCCATGTAACTGTATTCCAGAAAAACTGGAAGGGGCCAGGAGATTTGGAGTAAAAAGACAAGCACTTTTTGTGCTGTGAAAAAAAGAGGAAAATGTGTTAGCTTCCTTTGGGATCAAGACTGATTCCCAAGTATGCCTTCCCACCTGCCTCTGTACTTTCTCCACTTACCTAACCCCCTTTAGGAACTCAGGATGAGTCCTGAATCTCCAAGAACCCTGTTCTCTTGGGTCCAGACTAGCCTTGCTATTAATAATATTGATGATTTTTAAAAAAAATTTTTTATACAAATGGAGCACAACTTTTCATCCCTCTGGTTGTACCTGACCTAGAGTCATCCTTCGTGCAATCACACCCGTACATAGGGTAGGAATGTCCGTCTCATTCCACCAATATTGATGATATTTGAGTGCACTAAAAATCAAGACACTGTGCTCAATCTTGCTAGGAGTCCTAAATCTTGTTATTAACATGAAAACTGACTTTTTAGACAGCTCACAAAACTGGTGGTTATTAGGGAGAGGAAAAGGGGGGGGGAACCTGCTGGCACACAGGAAGTGCTAGGAGGAACTGGGGACTTCCTTAAACCGTGTCCTGATGAATCACTGTAAGCCAGCCAGGCGGCCTGCTGGGGGGTGGCTTGGGCTGGGTGACAGCTGGGTGACAGGGGCGGGCGTCAGAGCCTTCCTGCGCTCGGGGGCTGCTGACCTGTCTCTTGTCTCCCGCAGGCAAGGCCCTGGTGGCGGTGGACCCCGGCAACCGCACGGCCCCGCGGCGCTGCGCCTGCACCGCCGGGTACCACTGGAGCCAGGACTGCGAGTGCTGCCGCCGCAACGCCGAGTGCGCTCCGGGCTTCGGCGCCCAGCACCCCTGTACGGTTGCAGAACGCGCGCACCGCGGCCACTACAGCACGGCTACACCGGGCAAAGGGAGCCCCAGACAGCTCTAACACCTGTCACTAAGGCTCCAGGGAGCCAGGGGAACGGAGGAGCGGGAAGGGAGGGCGGTGCTTTGATCTTCCAGGAGCTGTAGGCGCAGGCAAGACCTGGGAATGGATCCCCAGCTCGGGTTCCCCAAAGAGAATGTGAGCAGCCACTGTGGCACTCCGGTTTGTCCCACATAGGGACAAACAGGATAGCGCAGCGATCCTCCAACATTTTTTTTTTTTTAATTGTGCACATCCTTAGAAGAAATGTAAAACAAACATGCTCCTCTGGGCACGTTTTGAAGTTGACATCTACAATTTTTGTTACAAATTTCAAGAGTGACTTATCAGGGAATTACAACTGCAGTAATGCTTTTTAAAACAGTCCTCGGAATGTAAACAAAATAGCAATTTGATACCCACCATCATCCAATTAAACAGGCACTAGTCTATTTAACTGTTGGGAATTTAAAAGATCCTTTCTTTCCTTGGTAGCCACTCCACCTTCCCTACAGAATTTTATCCTAGTATATTTTTGTGCTTGGAGTACTTACACTAATCACCCTATTATATTCCTTTACACTAAAAAAATCGGTGCATATTTAAAAATCTCAATTAAAAAAAAACTATTGGGACAAACTTCTCAGTGTTAAAAACATTCCCTCCACCCCAGACTGATCGTCACCACATTTATTATCATACAATTAGTCAAAAATGAATATGTTTTGCTATACAATAATCATAAAAGTAAAAGATTTTTGCTGGGAGCAGTGGCACACATCTGTAATCCCAGTGACTGAGGCCATAGGATCACAAGTTCAAGGTCAGCCTCAGCAATTTAGCAAGAGCTTTTCTCAAAATAAAAAATGAAAAGGACTGGGATGTAGCTCAATGGTAAAGCACAGCTGGGTTAAACCCTTAGTATGTGCATATAAAAAAAAAAAGCAAAAGCTTTTGAACTTCACAAGTGGGCTTTTTTCCCAATTATATATTCACAGTTGAATATTACTTACTTATTGCTAAAATGCAACAGAATTGAACATCAATTCTGTTTCCACTTTTTGTTGTTTTAGACAGAAAGACTTATGTTATAGGAGTGTCCACTATCACAAAGTGACATGACCTAAGTTATCCTTAATGATCTATCATTTGAGAACTCAATTGTGTCCTTCACCTTTGTTTAAAGTAAAGAAATAGAGATCCTTTAGACTTATAAAAGTATTTCTTAGAATCATTTGCTTTCCTTGTTTCTAGGAAACACAACAAAGTAGTTTTTTCAAGATGTAACAGATGATTATTTATGACTGTTCATCTGTAACTCAGAGGCACTTTTTTAAAAACCAAAATACTTGCTGGATGCAAGGGTGCACACCCATAATCCCAGAGGCTCCAGAGGCTGAAGTAGGAGGATCAAAATGTCAAAGCCAGCCTCAGCAATTTAACAAGACCCCAAGCAAATTAGCAAGACCCTGTCTCAAAATAAAAAATAAAAAAGGGCTTGTCACTGAGTTCAGCTGGCACAGTCAGCCCTTATTTTCAAATAGATTAACTAACCCATGTATACTTTCTCTTAGAAAAAGCCTAATTTTTAAGTTATTAAAATACACCTTCCTATCACAGCTAGTTCCCTCTGAATTCTGATTCTCAGAAGAAGCCCAGAGCCTTTGCACAAGTTTGTCACCTGCCTGAAACAGGTGCTGCCACCTGCAGGTTCCTGGTCCAAGTTGTCTGCCTTTCACCTTTGGGAATAATGTATATTTGACAGTAGAAAATAGAGGGACCAAAGTGGATGAATGAAAATTTTCTTTCTGCCCCACCTTGCACACTTTTAAATTCAGAACGGCTCAACCTGGTCCCCAATTCCCCATTTGTATGACCATACTTTTGTTCTGAATAGATAGGGAAAGACAGACGCTGGACGGGCTACAGAAAATTTTCCATCACCAGTATTTTTACTTTTTTGCTCTGTCCAACATGTCTGAAGCTTGGCACCATGCAGGATTTGGGGTAGATGCAAAGCATGCCTTCCTTTGTAGGTAGGAAAAGCATGATTGTAAGAGGGAGAAGGAAAGAGCAGTCTGCAGGATGCTTCTGGCCTGTCAGTCTTACCAAGTCCAGTGTGTGGGAATTAATACCCTCAAAACTTTATATTCCTGGAAATGCCTTGGGAACCCTCTTTGTTTTTGAGGGATTCTCAGAATCTTCTAGATTGTATTCATCTTTTAATTTGAATTAATTCATATTTGAATTAATGTGACCTACTAGATGTTAACTGGCCTTTGTTGAATCAATATCAAGGCAAATTATATTGCCAAATCCAGGGACAGGTGCTTTGCTTACTGAGCCAAATTGCAGAAGTTAAGAATGTACTTTCTATTTGACTTTGGACAAAGAAAGTTTAATTCCTTATTTTTCATGTTATATTCATGAAAATAAATCACAGAAGTGCTACTAATTTCAAGAGTAATTTGTGGTTTTGGTACCACCAGTTGCCCGATTATGATTTATAGTAGCCACCAAAGGGTCGTCTCGTCATGTGCCAATTGCAGTAAAGGTAACTGAAGAAATCTGAGGCACTTCTCATTTTAATAATGCAGTTTATGAGGACTATGAGTGAGTCAAGTCAAGTTTACTAACAAGGATCAACACCTGCTTTGAGCTCTGTGGATTAAGGAGGGGTCCAAATCCCTCCCACCATTTGTGCTTATAAATAAAGTTTTATTGGAAATTAGCAATACCTATTTGTTTTACATCTTGTCTATGATTGCTTTTGTGCTATGAGTAGTTGCAGCAGAGACCACAAGGGCTCCACTGTGCAGCCCTTTGCAGCAAAAGTTGGACACCAAACTTTTGTTTTAAAAGAGAGACCCACAGGGTTTTGTTTTGTTTTGTTTTAGAAAACTTTTTTGACACTTCAATAATATTTGAACGCGTGAGATTAAGCTTACAAGAAGGGATCAGAACAATAAATTTCCCTTAAAAGCAGTAATAGAATTGACATCCCCTGCAGAAGAAGGCTGGGTTAGCCATCTGTCAGGGCAGAAAGGGGATAGCAGAGGTGCCTGCCTAAAACAGAGCCAGACGACAAAAACAGGAGACACAGGCTCCCCCAGGCCAGGAAACAGCATGGGGGTGCTCAGGATGGTCTTCTGAGCAGTAGAGGCTCAGGACCAGAGTCGCCTGGACCTGGACTTCAGATAGTGGCAGTACTGACCCCTGCCTTTCTGAACACAATTCTGCAGCTCACCCCTGGTATCAGAACTGCTTCCTAGGCCCAAGGAGGGGCTTGGGGGGAGGGGGAGCTAGAGCCATTAGACACCCCGTGGCAAGGCCCCGAGGGGAGAAGGGAGCAGGGGGCAGCGGCTCTTCTGGAACATCTGACTGATCTCTAAGTGTCCTTGCTTGTTTCTGTTGGTTTTTGTGACAGTGCAGCTCAACATGGACACGGTGTGCAAGCCTTGCCACGTAGGCTACTTCTCAGATGCCTTTTCTTCCACGGACAAATGCAAACCCTGGACCAAGTAAGTGACCACAAGGGGACCAAAGGAATTTTTAAGTTTTAAACAATCCAACCTCCACTGTCTTGTCAATTCAATGTGGGAAAAATAAACCAGTCAAGCCACTTCTTCATCCGGGTGTGTATTGGCACTTCATGCCATTTTTAGATTCAATAGTCAGTATCTTATAGCTGCAGTTTCTTTTTTCCTTTTTCTAACCTTGTTTGGTTGAAAATGATTTATAATTTTATAACTTGTGTTTGTGTGTGGGGTGCTGGGGGTTGAACCCAGGGCCTCCAGCATACTCTGCTGGCATTCAACTGAGCCGCACCTCCAGCCTGATTCATGACATTTATTACCATTCACTTATCACCACTGCTTTTCCAAACTTCCCAATGTCATCATGGTTTATTCATCCAGAAACTTGTGGGTATGTGTTGTGTGTATACGTATAGAAACTTTCTAGCTATATAAATGTTTCACCTTGAGTTTTTTCACTTATTTTTTAAGCACTTTCTATATTTATTCACAGTCTCTCTGTGTGTGTGTGTGTCTTTATAGCTAAATAGTATTTCTTTCTTGCTCTTTTTTGGGGGGTACCAGGAATTAAATATTGAATCCAGCGGTGCTTAACCACTGAGCCACATCCCCAGCCCTTTTTATATTTTGTTTTGACACAGAGCCTCACCAAGTTGCTCAGGGCCTTGCTAAGTTGCTGAGGCTAGCTTTGAACTCATGATCCTCCTACCTCAGCCTCCTTAGACACTGGATTTACGGGAGTGCACCACCATGCCCAGCTCTGAATAGTATTTCATCATAGAAATGTACTATAATTTGTTTAATAAATAGAGAATTTCAGTAGGGACTGACAGGGATTTGCACTGTTCTTAGTCTCTTACAGTAATAACTAATTTTGTAATGAATAATCCCATAAATAGTTTAAGAATCTCCTATCCAATATGCTTGGAGCCAGAATTATTTCTGATTTCAGCTATATATATATATATATCTACATAATGAGTTTGTCTTGGGGAGGGGATCCAAGTCTAAACACAAACTTCATTTATGTTTGATATATACCTTATACATATAGCCTGGAGGTAATATTTTGCAATATTTTCAATTATTTTTGTGAGTAAACCTAAATTTAATGGTTTGGGATTTTCTCTTTGTGGTGTCATATCAGTGCTCAAAAAATTTTAGATTTTCAAGCAGTTCAGACGTTAGGGATGCTCAATCTGTATATTTAGTGGCACCCTTTTGTGAGTCTGTCTGTAGTGGAATTTCTGGGTCCTGGGTCATTGCATACTTATTGTTGAATACTAATAATCAATATAGTGATTCTTTTACTTTCTCATATATTCTGATTAAATGTTAATTTTCTGATCCATTTATCCAAGTTTTATGTTGAAAAGTGTTTTTCAACTTCAAAAGAGTATTCGTCTAACGTTTATCACTGAGCCACAGGAATTGAAGCATTTGGTTGTACTTTATTGTAGCCCCATTTTTGCCCTTGCTGACCATGTCCTCAGAGATTTGTCCTCCTCCGTGATATTCTACTTCCTTGAGGAAGGTCCTGGGATTTGGAATTGCAGGAAGATGCAAGTCCCCTCCTGAAGAAACTGGCAATCTACCGCAGTAGATTGTTTGGTGTTTTAAACAAGAATATTAAACCAAAGCACTTAACTGCTTTTCCCTCCGCAGCTGTACCATTCTTGGAAAGATAGAGGAATATCCCGGAACAGAGAAATCAGACGTGGTTTGCAGTTCTTCCCTGCCATCTAGAAAACCACCGAAGGGTATGCTTGACAGAGTCTGTGGGAGGGTAGACGTGCCCAGCATGGTCAGCTGTCTCGCTCTCTCCAGAATCCCAGGCTTCACGTGCAGGGGTTCAGCTGTCCCTTTTCATTTCATCCTGACCACGGTCAGCTCAATATTTCATTTGTATCAGTATTTCAATTCCAGATATGATTTTTATTTGATTAATGGATTGCAGTGCTGAGACTGAACCCAGGGCTTTGTGCATACCAGGCTACTTGATCATTTTTTTTTTACAATGGAATAACTGATAATGTATTAATGTACAAAGAAAAGAAAAGAAAAAGCTGCAAACATAAATGAAAATGCCCAGACATGGAAGGGTGGTGGTGGTCACAGTGAGAGTATCCATGGGGAAACTGGTCATCAACCAGAGGAAACAATTTGTGAGAATCCAGCAGTCATTATTTGTGGAACATTATTTGTGGAATCCATCAATCTTATACAATTTTAAAGACGGACAGAAAGATGCTGGTTACTCTGGGTGAGTGGGTCAGTGTGCCAGTGGGTCTGCACACTGGAAGAGATGGCAGAAGTGGCAAGAAGACCTTTATACTAAATCAAGAGAATGCCAGCCACAGGGCAATAGAGCTAACAGGTTGTGGCCAAGAAAATCAGAGGTCTAGATTTGACATCCTAGGGAACAGGAGCAGAAGGGCACTAAAGTATCTGGATATGGAGTTACACGCTCAGAGGAGAGATTTTTTTAAAAGACCATTTTGAAGATAGCATGAAAATAACTGAGGGAACTAAAGGTTATTCTTAAATGAGAGAAGGAAAGGAAAGGTCATGGTCCAGGAAACCAAAGGTGTGGGATACAGAGGTGCTAGCAATGAGGCGATGGAGGAGGGAGGAATGACGGAAGTGGAGGCATCCACATTGTATCATAGAGAAATAACAGAAATGCTTCCCAGAGGGGCTGTTGTGTTCTCATAGCCAGCAAAACCCTGGTGCCATGTTGGTATTTGGACAGCAGTGTGATGAGGTCTTCCAGCTGGTCAGTGAGGGGTTCTGGAGGCAAGCAGAGGTGAAGCAGGATGGTGGGTGCATGTGACTAGAGTTGTTCTTAAGAACGTAATCATGGAGACATAGTGATGGCTGGGGTGGCCTCCAGTGCAGTGAAGCCAGACCAGCAGGGTGGGCGAGGTGGGGAGCCAACCCTTCCGACTGTGAGTGCTCCCTGGCAAATGTAGTCCGGGGTGGGGATTGTCCTACTTCTGATATCCCAGACCCACATCTTTGATCCTGGGATTAGATTTATAAGGTTTTGTTTTTAAATGTAATAAAATTACATAATCTTTAATGCCATATTTCTCATTTTCTTCCAATGCAGAACCACGGATTTACTTGCCCAGTTTAATTATTCTGCTTCTCTTCATATCTGTGGCCTTAATTGCCATCGTCGTCTTTGGCATTTACCATAGGAAAAAAGGGAAAGCGCTAACAGGTATTGTGTCTATGCTGGTGCTTGAGAGATAGTCTTCAAGGAAATAGATACAGTTCTAGGCAAATGCTTTGGAATAGGAGTACATTGTCCACTGACTGTCTATGGGACCTGCTTAAGTAAGTGCCTTGAGATGACTGTACTTAAAGGCAAAACACCCTTTGTATCTTAGTCATTGTTCTCCAGCAAAATAAAATAAAATCAAAACAAGAAGCCAACATTGTGCCTATTTCTATAAACGCTAACAAGAATATCCCAACATTCAGGAAACTGATGACTTGTGAGCTTGTGTTTAAGCTGTAGAGCATGCAGCAGCACACATGCAGGGGGTTGCTTGCTTTTATCCTGGAATATATCAATTTTCCATGGACCCATGTGAAACAGAATGTGTAGATAAATGGCAGGTGAGGTTTTGGTTAGGGTGTTATCTTGAAATGTGAATCTAAAATTATGAAAATGACTTACCTTACATTTAGTCAAAATGAGGTGCTCATTCTTAGAATGGAAAATCAAGTGTTAATTTGGATGGTATCTTGAAACATCACATCATAATTGGCTTTTATTCGACAAAACTAAAAGAATCATTTTTATTCAAGGACTCACGTCTCCCCTAGGTTTGCTAAAGATGCTTCTTAGTACTTCCCTGCTCAAATCATTCTCTTCTGGAGCACCTGACATTCCCCCATCCTTTCCACTCCCTATGCTCACCTGTTTACCTCGTCCAATTCTGCTCTCCGTGAACTTCGTGGATCCCTGTATGTCTTGCTATTTTTATTACTATTTGCATTGCCTAATATAACACCGGCAGTCAAAATATTAATTAAAAAGCCAGCTGTTAAGCAGAGAGCAGTGTTTGAGTGGGCCCCATCTTTTTAAAGAGGCCATTCATTACTGAGGGAATTAAAGGATATTGTCAAAAAGTGAGGAGAGGAAAGGCCACAGTCCAGGGAAACCAAGGGTTCTTGGTGTAAAGTTTTTAGGAATGAAGTGATGGAGGAGAGATGAAGGAAATGGTAGTCCACACTGTGTCGTAGATAAAATGTCAGAAATGCTGCCCAGGGTGGCCTGGGCAGTGATGCAGTTTTACTTCCTTGACGTCATAGCTGGGGGTTTGGATGATGACACCCCATTGTTCAGATGATGAGGACCACTTGAACAGTCGTGTTGAGGCGAGAGGACAGACTTCCTGATATTTTTTTGTTGTTGTGGCTTTTAATAACATTTCCCACCCTATCTTATTGAGAAAACAATAGACCTATCAATGACTTAGGGGATTATGATTCTTAGCTTTGTCCTCATCCATTCATTCCACATGTTTATTGGCCACCAAGGACTGGACTGGCGCTGGGCCGCAGTGTGGAGCGCCCCAGACTAGTGCACTCCTGGCGGAGGCAAGGCACATGTTGGGCTCTCAGAGTGAAACTGAAACCGAAAGGGTAGGAGTGGAGCTCCAGGTAGAGGTGGCAGAGGGTCTGTCCAGTCTTGGGGTCAGCCGGGCACCTCAGAGGAGGAAACAGGTGAGCTAAGACCAGAAAGACCAGCTGGAATTTACTAGCCTGAAGGGAATCAAGGAGGAGCCCAAGCACACCCACTGAGAGGACCACGTAAAGGGGAGCATGGTGAGAGGGGGGTGAAAGAGTCACGAAGCTGGAGCAGAAAGTTGGGGACCCGGAGCAAGATGAGCCAGATGCCACAGCCCTTCAGACCTGCTAAGAAGTTCGCTCCTTATTCTTAGCCAAGGACATCAAGGACAACACTCTTGCTTTAGTGTAGAAAACAAATTTGGGGGTGCAGTAAGAGTGGATGCAGGTGCACCATCTTGGAAAGCTGTTGCTGTCCATTTCCCAGGGGAGAGACTTGTGCACAAGTATTATTACTTTTAGTACCCTTTGTGCTTGTCTAAAACTGAGTCCTGCAAGGAAAGAGCTGTGACTGTCATTTTACTTGGGATAATTTTATTTTGATTGAATTTCAAAATTATAGAAAAGAAGGAAGACTAATGGTGGTGATGATAGTGGTAACTGACATGTGTTGGATATTGACTGTGCACCACATGGTTACATGCATTTTTACATGTGCTCAGGGAATCTTCACAAAGCACTACACGAGGCAGGCACTACTGTTTCCCCCTGTGCTGATGAGGAAACTGAGGCCCAGAGAGGTTAAATAAACTGTGCAAGGTCACATAATAGTCTACAGCATAAACGAGATAACATGTATGCTCTGCTTAGCACCATGTGGGCACGTTTCAGGGCTCAGTAGGTATGAGATGATTAGCATCTTTATGAACTGCAGTTATCTTCCACCAAAGGACTGATGACTCCGCTTCAATTTTAATTGCTAATCTAAAATGGAATATTCATTGAGGTGGGATAAAATTTTATCTTTGTATAATATGAATTCATAGTTTTTTTTAAAAAATTCATGGATCTGACTTTTTAGACTTTATCACTTCTATTTTATAAAAGTTAATGGCAGTGTCCTTTCCATATGCCACAGAACATATTCTGAGAAGCAAGAAGGCATAGTAGAAAAGGGGGACCCATCAGAACTCAGTGAGTCTGATGCTTAGCTCTCTAGCAGGCACCTCCCTTTTACTGTACATATATTTGAGCTCCTACACATCTTCTTTTTACCTTACCATGCCTCAAAGTCAAAGAAAATGTGTTAAAGGAATGAGAACACCTGTAGACATCACAGCAGCTCTGGGAGCCCAGGTGTGCCCACAGGTATTTAGCAGAACACGAGTGGTTCATGGTTTGCTTTACGCAAGACAGGAAGCTCTGTTTTTAATAGGAGTAAGGTGCCTTTGTAGCCTTTAAAGCAGTTCAATCATTTATATATTTATTTAATTGTTTATTTTCTTGCATGTATGGTGCTAAAGCTGGAACCCAGGGCCTGTATGCTCCAGGCAAGCCCTCTACCCCTAGCCTATGTGCCCCCAGCCCCAGCTGATTTATTTTTTAAGTGCTTTTACACCCAGGAATGGTCACTGAAACACTTGCAGTGGAGGATGTGTAAAGATAATATTGAACTGACTTGTGATCTTTAATAGTGAGCCACACAAACAGAAAATTATTGCTGACCTCACTTACATATGGACTCATAAAAGAAAAGAACCAAAAGTTCCATCTACAGGAAATGGGGAGTTGTACATCAAGGATACAAGATAGCAGATATGTAGGGTGGACAAATCCAGAGAACAATATTGTATTTAGGATTTTTGTGAAATGAGTCCGTATCAGCTCCTGTTACACACACCCCCCAAAATGTGTCACTGTGACATGATGGATAAGTTAATTTGCTTCACTCTAGAAACTTTTTGTTTTTTTTGGTAAATATTTTTTAGTTGTAGTTAGACACAATACTTTCATTTTATTTATCTATTTTTATGTGGTGCTGAGGATCGAACCCAGGGCCTCGCACGTGCTAGGGGAGCACTCTATCCCTGAGCCACAACCCCAGCCCCTCTAGAAACTTTTTGAGACCTACATTTGTCCTATAACATCAAAGTTATCAAAAAATTTTTGTTTTTAAGATAAAGAAATAGGAAATTATAATACGAAATCCTTACCCTTGCTTTGTTTTTCTAGCTGATTTGTGGCACTGGATCAATGATGCTTGCCGTCACGTAGGTGGAAATAAGGTAAAGTTAAATTTCTTTGGGGTCTCCCTTAGGTCCTTGGAACAGTTAGACTGCTTCAACTCCAACTCATCAACCATTGAGCCCCATTGCTTACTTAGCACCTGCATACATGGTGTGCAAACCTCAAATCCCACCACTAATCCCTACTGCATAACCCAGGGCTCATCATTCTTCGTTCTAAATGCCTCTTTTTCTTTATGTTTTATTCTGCTTTTTTTTTTTTTTTTTTTTTGTACTGTGGATTGAACCCAGAGACATCTACCACTGATCTGCATCCCTAGCCCTTTTGCATTTTATTTTGAGACTAGCCTGGATCTTGTGATCCTCCTGCCTCAGCCTCCCCAATTGCTGAGATTATAGGCATGTGCCTTAGCACCCCAGCACTCCTTTAATTTTTTTGTTTTGTTTTGCTTTTGTGCTGCTGAGGATCAAACCCAAGGCACATGCTGGGTAAGCGCTCTCCACTGGACCACACTCCGGTCCTCGTTCCTCTCTGTTACCTTTGTGTATATGTTATTTTTTTTTTTTTAGTATAAATCTTGATTGCCTGGTACAGATTCTTAGGAGGAATGAGCTACCACTTTCATTTAATTTGCAATTATTTTGGTAACTTTTTATTTTGACATAATTTCAAAATTATACAAAATAGAATATTACAACCAACGTCCACAGCCCAGATTCACAAGTGTTTACCTTTTATCACATTGCTTTATTCTTTGTTTTCTTTCTCTGTGCATGCATATGAAAATGCACATTTTTTTTCTTGAATCCCTGAAGAGTGAATAAAGGCAGTGTGTTCCCATATCCTTAAACACGTCAGTGTATATTTCCTAAGAACAAGGACACTCTCATATATAACCATGGTACATTTATCAAAATCAAGATAGTATTACAGTGAATATTGAATATTGAATATTCAAATTCCATTTTGTCCTTTAGATTTATTTTCTTAGGTATAAAAATCTATCAACTTTAAACCCTATGCTGACCTCTCTGGTTCCAGGATCTGGAACCCGGGATCCAGGATCCTTCTTGTCTCCCCTTTCTCATATTTAGATCTTCTGTCTCTAGCAGTAGGACACCTGGTTCCACTTGTTATCAATGTGTTCACTCGTTTGCTCAATTCTAGAACACACAGAAGGTAGGTTTAGAATTACTAACCTCTACCACAGCAAAGCACAGACCTACCAACTGGAGCTTCCAGTATAGCAACCAACTACAGTATCCAGTATGATGTCATTTTCGTATATTTATATTGAGGGTACAGAGTCAAAATACTGTGTTGAAACATTATGTGGGTTAGCTCTTTCCTCCCTTTTGTGTGGACATTCTATTCCTTTGAAATGCAGTAAGATCCATTCATTTCTGGTTGTGTTCTATTTTAGGATTCTCCTACACTCGATAATTTTGACAAATAAAGTATGGCGTGGATGTGCCATCTGTACTTGTTATGGTGGAAATAATTAGTATAAACACTTTTTTCAGCAGTGTTTAGCTGAACATGTTCTAATAACTCTGGGTATTAACGCCTCTGCCTTCTGAATTTGTATCTGCAGGCGTCCTCAGGCGACAGCTGTCTCAGCGCTCCCTCGGCAGGCTCGAGTCAGTGTGAAGTGTGTGAAGGTGTCTTACTGCTGACGCTGGAGAAGATGGTTCCAGAAGCGATGTGCTGTGCAGACGGAGCTGGTGTCTGTGGGGGTGCGTGTGTGGGAGGTGAGCCCTGTGCACAGGGCGAAGATGCAGGGATGTTCTCCTTGGTCAGCGAGGTGGAGATCAAGGGGGACTCCAGCAGGCAGGTTCCTATGGAGGACGAGTACATGGACCGGCCCCCGCAGCCCCCAGAGTGTTTGCAGCTCCTGACCCAGCCTGGAAGCAAATCCGCACCCCCTTTCCCTGAACCACTGGAGGTGGGGGAGAATGACAGTTTAAGCCAGTGCTTCACGGGGACTGAGAGTACAGTGGACTCAGAAAGCTGCCACTTCACGGAGCCCCCGTGCAGAACTGATTGGATTCCCGTGTCCCCCGAAAAGTACTGGCAAAAAGAGGTGGAGGGTGGCAGTTATGCCCCCTGGGCAGCCAGCTCCAGCTTGGGGGACAGCTACACAGGCTGTGGGATCCCTCCTGGGGAGGACCAGGAACCCCTTATGGGTTCCCTGAAACACGGACCTTTGCCCCAGTGTGCCCACGGCATGGGCCCTCCCTCTGAAGAAGTGGCTGGTGGCGCAGAGTGGGGAGACAAGCCTGAGGACGGGGCTGATGTAAGGCTTCCCAGCTCAGCAAGGGGAAGCGCTGGGTCTGGAACCGCCCCCAGTGACCAGCCACCTGCCACTGGTAAGTAATTCTCCTGGTCTCCCACAGTTGAGCAAAAAGCCCTATTCTTGGGCTAAGGTTTGGGGGCAGTTATCAGGCCATTTAGGGAAAAGGAAATTGACATGGGGAAAATTCAGCCTGACCATTTTCTCTTAATTAGTGTTTTTCCAGAGGGGTTTCGGTTTGGTGCACCTGTGTGTGGGCTTGTACGCTGTGCCCACTGCTCTGTGGCTTCATCTTCTACTACTGGGCTATTAGGGCACCTATGAATATCCAGTTCACGTTAGTATCAGGCTTCTTGTGGTTAGAGTATTCCTTAAACCCCAGCATTGACCGCTGAAGGACAGAGTCAACACTGACCTCAGGACTGGCTAAATCAAGGTGTTCCTTCAGATTTATGGGTTTATTATTATTATTATTATTTTAGTTGTAGATGGACACAATGCCTTTATTTATTTTTATGTGGTGGTGCTGAGGATTGAACCCAGTGCCTCACATGTGCTAAGCAAGCACTCTACCACTGAGCCACAACCCCAGCCCCCCGGCCCCATTTCTGTTTTGGGGGGGGTTTTGTTTAAAAAGCAACTTAGGCCTCTTAAAGGTCCCCCAGGGAAGCTCTTATAAATCTCAGGCTCTTGTAAATTTCAGGAGGACAAACAAAATTGTTTAATTGATCCTCGATTAACTAATATTTATTTGAGCAGCATTCTGGTTCTGTACCAAATTAACGATGCAGGAGAAGTGTCTTTTAATGCTTTTTAGGACCAGGCCCTTCATCACCACTACGTGTAATATGGTTATGGAACAGGAGGATGATTTACAATTTAGCATCATTATGGAAATTTATCACTGCAACACTGCTTGGGCAGGAACAAGCCACCAATGATAACATTATGACTCTTTTTCCTGAGGGTAAAACACCATCTGTTTTATTATGTAGTTACAAAGGACTTTGCGACGAGCAGGGAGGGCTTCCTCTGGCTCTGGGAATCCTTAGCCCTATAAGGAGTCAGGGATCTCATTAAGAGTCTTCTGAAAGCTACAGACACTCTTTCCAGAAAAAAAAAATGAATATATGGATGCATACTATTTAAGGGACTTCACAAAATCTTCCAACTCTAAGAAGAAAAAAAAAATAGCTCATTCACAGGCCTCTCCTCTCTAGAGATGCTTTTTCTTTCAGGTCTCTTGATCTAGACTGTAAGTGGCGCTAGAGCTGCCCGAGGGTTATTTTGTAATCCTGGGGTGGCAGATCCCAGCCTAGCACAGAGGCTGCTCTGCCTCCCGGTAACAGTGGCTGCAGGCTCCTTGGCCAAACAGCCATGCTGGTGTTTCCCAAGCAGTGTGGTTTGCTGCAGCTACACAAATGCACTGATTTATAAATTCTGTCCTATCAATTACCAGTCAAACTGAAAGAAGATACATTTGAGGATATTTTTAAAAGAACTGGTAGAATTTTCCTCCTGAAGACTTTAGAATGTATTTTGAAGATTTTAAGGAATTTCCATGACGAAGAATCGAGTTCTGTTATCTGTTTGCATTGTTCTGCATCTTTCTAGCCATTTGTTTTGGTTCTGTTGGTTCTGGAGAGACACTGAACCAGGTTTCAGGCTGTGGGGAATGAGAAGGCTGCAGCTCAGTCTGTGGCAGCAGCTGAGTCCTGGCAGTACCAAAGGACAGGCCAGTTTTTCAATTGGTGACACGAGGAGATGGCATTTGCTACTGTGGGAGAAACATCATCAGTTCTTGGAAGAACCGGGTTGGGAAAATTTAAAGATTCTCTCTCCTCTCTTTTCTCTCTCTCTCTCTCTCTCTCTCTCTCACACACACACACACACACACACACACACACAAAACACTCAGTGTCACGAAGCCAAAAGCCAGATTGTTTGCTGTCCTGAGAAAGAGTGAAAACAGTGTCCTCCTCTGCTTCTTTTATTTCTCCAGTGCTAAACATTGAGGCTCAGAGGAAAGAAATAAAAAGGGTGTCATCAACCGAGTGGTGTTAATTTGCAAAGAGTTTACTCTGCTTTTTCCATCTTCAGTTGGTGCTTGGCCATGTACGGCATCCATGAGGAGTCTGCTGTGCTGTCACCAGCCAGTGGGCCAAGTTCCTTTTTGCCTGAGAAGCAGCAGGAGCCAGAATGATTTTAGAGGCTGTGTCTTTTTCTCTCTACAATTATGTCTACATGAACAGGCTGGTTTCTGGTCAAAATACCACATTTCCATTCTTTTTTGTTTAATTGTTATAATTTATGTGCTATAGAATGCATGAAAAAAGATGGCGCTTGTAGGAGACATGAGAGAAGGGTCTGATCTCCTTCCATCTCGTGCTCTCAAGACCCGAGCGAGGTGGCCTCTTTCACTGTTTTGTTTTGTTTTGTTTTTTTGTGTGTGTTGTTGTTGTTGTTTTATTTTGTTTTTTTAACACCCAGGTATTATTTTGTTTATTTGTGTATTTAAACTTAGAACCAAACCAAGTGCTTTCTGATGACAATGTCTGGGGATTTCCGCAGGAAATTGTGTCTCCGTTGTGCCAGCATCTACAAGTGTAGACAACTTTAAAAAAATACCCAAAGTTGTTAAGGCGATTTTATTGATGCTAAATCTTGAGGAATAGTGAGAATTATTAGCAAAGACCAACCAAAGGGGAAATACCTGCTTTTGGTTATGTCTTAAACAGCCCTGCCTTAATTTAGGTATTTGATGATGCCTGATCCTGATAACAGGATGGTTATCTTGGTTATAAGCTCCTCACGTGGAGTTAGAATTCTTACTGTGCCACTGGAGAATGGTAACTTCATATGGAAAAAGTAGCAACTGCTTATAATTAATGTGTCTATGGTTGGCCAACAAGTTGGCATTAGCTTCTGGTTAGTCGCTAGGTTCTGCTACTTCTGAGCTGGGGAGAGTTGCTTATTTACAGGGCCCCCAGCAATTCTTGATGAACTCTGGTGACATATTTGCTTTTCTATAAAACCTTTATTGAAAGTCTCTTAAGCTACAGTGACTTGGAAGATCTTGGAATACAAGTAGGGATTGATGTTAGGGAATGAAGAAACTCAAAAAGAATCCATACGTTCCAAAGTATGGATCCTTCCCCAGCCTGTCCCACGCACTGGTCACTGTTTTTTGTTTTTTTGTTTTTTTTTTTTTGGCAATGAGTCTTGGACATTTTCTAACTGAGCCTAGAGTCTATCACACAACCCAGTCCTAGTAGCCATAAACAATCAGTAGGGATTTCTATAATCTTGTCATGCCTTGTCTTTCTGGTTTCTCAAAGGTATCTCAATCAATATGGATATGCACACTCATCCCACCAGTCAGAGTAGGCAGGCAACCAAAAGCACCATAGTTCCTCATTCATTCCCAGTGGGCTCTTAGGCCCCCACTTCTTTGGTCTGCTCTTAGAGGCTGGGTGAGAAGCAGAGGATGGAAGGACTGGCAGTGACCATCCTGGGCACACTGCACTGTCCTGAGCAGAGGAGGCAGAATCCACAGAGCAAAGGTGAGCCAGTTCATCCAAGTGGCACAGACTCCTCCAGAGCTTCCTGGTGGCCATGATGACTGGAGGGTGAACACACCTGTCTGACTCACCGCTGCTCCCCCATCCTCAGTCCCATCCCTGGGCCCACCTGCTTTTGGAATGACTTGCTTACTTGGTCATAATTGCTCAGCATCCATTGGTGCCAAAAGTCAATGCATTATTTCAAAATATATTTTTAAATTGTCCACTGTATACACCTTGTTTAATTTAGTGCCACCTCCCTTCTTTCTGTACCATTAGAGCTCATTTTGGAAGGATTTGGTCTTAAGATCTTCCAAGTAATTTTCAAGCATGATTCAGAATGGAATTATTAAATATTGCTTCCTTTCCCTTATCTTCATATACCCAGTTTCTTCCAAACCTGAAACAGAGCTTGCATTTCCATAAAAAGGAAAATCACATGAGAAGCATATGGGTTAAATATATAATGTTATTTTATTTTAATTCCCAAAGAACCCAATGTAGCCTGGGTAGTCTGAGTGTATTTGTGTATATTTTTAGTTCTGTTACTTGGAAGAAAATCTACATGACAATTTGGTGGTATTATTTGGCATAGTTCTGGTGATTTAATATTCATATGTTATGCATTTTAAACAACTGTAATGAGCTTTTGAGAAGCGAAGTGTGCGTTACCTTGTTAAAAAATGTAAATTCTGTCAGGGATTGTGTTCTTAAACCTAAGCTTGTTCTTTCTGCCTGAGAAAAACAGATTCCACAGAGCCTGCTATATAAAGCATGGGTTTAGCAATGTATAAATCTTTCTGATCATAATGGGACACATCATTCGTTTATTGTTTCTGTTGACTTAGATGCTATTTTTAACACTCTCAAGTTATCAGAACATTTTTCTAGTTAAATCTCATTAAATACTAATGTTCAGTCAACTCATCCATTCTAAATGTTCAAATCCCCGACTTTATAAAAAAACCTCCATGTCATTCTGGTTTTCGGATCAATTTTTGGGTAGCCTTTAAGTAGCTTTCTACTGTTAACGTGGCATTCAGAGACCGCAAGGTGGTTTTGCTATCCTAAAGATGACAGTTTCATCTGTGGTATTCTAGATATTAGTTACCAGCCACCGACAAAGTGCTTTGTGATGAGCTTTTTAATTACCCCCAGAACTCCTGTGGGGCAAATTCCTTGCCCAGTATCACAAGGCTAGGAAGCAACAAAGCCAGGATTCAAGTAGCTGACAGGGATCCCTGTCCTTTCAGCCACCACCCATCTCCTCCTGAATGATACTGATTTCCTTGGGTTACTGTCTTGGGGAATCCTCAGTTTCTACAGGCCTGGGATAAATGGCTACTCTGGCTGAGTGAGGGGCAGTGGCCAGGCCAGGCCAGACCCAGAAGTTTCTGCAGGAAGAGACACTGAGATGTGCAGTAAGGGATGGTTCCTTGTCCTATAATGAGACTCTTGTCTGCTGCCAGTTGCCTCTGGAAGTTTCTGTTTTAACCATCACTGATTCTTTTGT